CGGGGGGGGGGCTCACAGAGTACCGTGTAGGCACTAGGGGGCGGGGGTGGGGGGGGGCAACGGGGGGCTCACAGGTACCGTGTGGGCACTAGGGGGCGGGGGGTGGGTTGGGGGGAAACGGGGGGGGCTCACAGGTACCGTGTGGGCACTAGGGGGCGGGGGGTGGGTTGGGGGGAAACGGGGGGCTCTCCAGTACCTAGTGTGAGCACTAGGGGGCCCGGTCGGTGGAGGCAATCCCATTGGCTGTCCCCGGCCGCGCAGGTGTTGGAACAAGGTCAGCCAACCAGGCTGCCTCCCAGAAAACAAATCCGCGCTCTGAAAGGCCCGCGGGCTCCCTCTAGAGCGCGGTAGGGATGTGGACCGCGGGGTGGGTGGAAATTGAGGGGATTTGGGGGGAGTTAGACTATTGGTGTACACCGGTGGGAGGCCGGGACCCAGACGGAACTATCAACCCTGGGGAAGCTAGCTGCCCTTCAAGGAGCAAGGTGGATATGGGACAGGCCATGGCAAAACAACCCCCATTTAAAAAACAGCAACCCGCATATACATGTAGTCCTACAGCCGTGGTCAGTGTACTTCAGTCATTATTTGTAAGACGAGACTTTTTGCCCTGATGGCTTTATGGTATTTTGCATCCAAGAGCAACCTAATTAATAATTTTTATGGCAAAAAATAAAATAAAATAATAATTGTTATGGCCCAGTCGGTGTGGCTCAGTGGTTGAGCCTCGACCCATGAACCAAGAGGTCACTGGTTCGATTCCCGGTCAGGGCATATGCCTGGGTTGTGGGCTCGATCCCCAGTAGGTAGAAGGCAGCTGATCCGTGATGTTTCTCTCTCTCTCTCTATCCCTATCCCTTCCTCTCTCTCTAAAAATCAATAAAAACATTTTTTAAAAATAATAATTGTTATGAATCTGACTTTGTATTGCATTATTTTACGGGGTCTTTAGGGAAGAGTGTGATTAGGGATGGTGACTCCCTTGCTTATGTGGTTTAGGTTTCTGATGTGATAGACAGAAGACTGCAGCCAAAAGCTGCTCTGAATCCTATTATTGCTACAAATGGGAATTAGGAGAAGGGTTCTTTAATCAAGTGGATGCCTCATCAAAGAGGTAGAGGTGATCTTTTCTACAATAGGGTTTCAGCTAAAGGCAAACCTTGGGTGGATGAAAACTGAGGAACTGGAGATAAGGGCTCCTAGTGAAATGCAAGGTAAAATTGCACCACATTACATTTTAGCCCCAACCCACCTGTATTAGTTTCTTGTAGCTGCCATAACAAATTACCACAAACATGGTGGCTTAAAACAACAGAAATGTATTGTCTCACAGTCTAGACGCCAGAATCCCCAAAGCAAGATGTCAGGGCCACAGTCCCTACAGGACTTTTCAGCTTCTGGTAGATGCCAGCTTCCTTGACTTGTGGGCACATCAATCTCTGCCTCCATCTTGACGTTGCCTTCTCTTCTGCATGTCTTTTTTTCTTCTTTTACAAGGACATTTGTCATTGGATTTAAGGCACATCCAGGTAATCTAGAATGATCTTATCTCATCCTAAACTCAATTACATCTGCAAAAACCTGTTTTCCAAACAATGTCACACAAGTTCCTGGGATTAGGATGTGAACATATCTTTTGGTGGGCCACCACTCAACCCACTAACTACCCCACTTTTCCAGCCTCTACCTCCACCCTCTACTCACTCCAATTTACGAAGCTATCACAGCTAATTGATTATTATAACAATCCTAACTTGTCAGTGCTCTACCAATTTTTAAGACCTATTGACATGGCATTGCTTTGCCCCAACAGCGTGGCTCAGTGATTGAGCCTCGACCTATGAACCAGGAGGCCACAGAGGTCATGGTTTGATTCCCAGTCAGGTATATGCCCAGGTTGTGGGCTGTGTGAAAGGTAGCCAATCCATGATTCTTATCATTGATGTTTCTATCTCTTTCTCCCACTCCTTTCCTCTCTCTGAAATCAATAAAAATAAAATTAAATAAATGGCCTTGCCCTAGTTGGTTTGGCTCAGTGGATAGAGCGTCGGCCTGCAGACTGAAGGGTCCTGGGTTTGAGTCCCGTCAAGGGCACATGCCTGGGTTGTGGGCTCGATCCCCAGTAGGGGATGTGCAGGAGACAGCCAATCAATGATTCTCATCATTGATGTTTCTTCCTCTCTGAAATCAATAAAAATATATTTTAATAAAATAAAATAAATGGCCTTTACAAAACTTATCCTTATTTCCATTTCTCACATACCCCAATGTAAGTAACCACTCTCTGATCAGAGCTACCAGAATAGTTTGCCACTCAAAAGGCACTTACTTGGATTTTAACTTTTCATACTTGTAAGAAGCAGTAGATTAGGTATGATGTCTTAGTCATTTTTTTAAAATATGATTTTGTTTGTTTTTGTTCATCTTCAACCTGGGATATTTTTCCATTGATTTTTTAGAGACACTGGAAGAGAGAGGGAAAGACAGAGAGAAACTTCAATTGGTTGCCTCCTGCACGTCCCTGACCAGGGCCCAGGCCAGGGAGGAGCCTGCAACTAAGGTATGTGCCCTTAATCAGAATTGAACCTGGGACCCTTTGGTCTGCTGGCTGAACACTCTATCCACTGAGCCAAACTGGCTAGGGCTTAAATATGTTTTTTTATTGATTTGAGAGAGAGAGGAAGGGAGAGGGAGAGAGAAACATCAAGCCTGCTGTCTCTTGCACACCTCTTGCTAGGGATCAAGCCTGAAACCCTGGCCTGTGCCGGGATCGGGAATCAGCCTGGAGACCTCTCCAATCAAACTTCTGGTGCATGGGACAATGCTCAACCAAACCGCACTGGCCAGGGCGTTAGTCATTTTTGTATATCACCTGGCAGCAAGCACAGTGCTTAGTTAAATTAATGCTTGTTAAATATATGTTTGCTAAATCTGATTATACCTGAAAATGTAACTACCATTTATAGAGAATACAGGGGACAATAATTAAATCACATTTTAAGGATACAAGCCACAAAATTAGAACGTTTGAAAACTATAGGACAAATGACCCTATTTCTTTAACAAATAAATTGCAAAATAAAAAAGGAAGGAGTGCCAGGCTGGTGTGGCTCAGTTGGTTGAGTGCTGTTCCATGCACCAAGAGGTCACTGGTTCCATTCCCAGTCAGGGCACATGCCTGGGTTGCAGGCTCAATCCCCAGTACAGGGTGTGCAGGAGGCACTCAATGTGTCGTTGATGTTTCTCTCTCTCCCTCTCCCTTCCTCTCTCTCTAAAAAATAAAAATAGCATCTTCTTAAATATATATATACTTTAAAAAGAAGAAAGGAGAAGCCTACAGATTAAAGGGGACTTAGAATTGACAAGCTATGACAAGATGTTTATAAAATTTTATATGAAAAAACTCAGGAAGACCCAAGCCAATGTGGAAGAAAAATCTAGAACACTTACACTACCAAATATTATTATTATTAAGCTATAGTAACTGAGATAAATATCATGGCCTGAGAGCAGACAGGCCATGTTAAACTGGTAGTATCTATTAAAGCTGCATATAAGCATACACTATGACCCAGCAATTCCATTTCTACCTATATACCCAACAGAACTAGAAAGCAAAAAACAAAAGATACATATTAGCCAAATGAAATGTTTGGTTCTTGTTTGAATCCTGATTTAAACAAACCCATTATGGAAAAGAAACACGAGACAATCAGAAAAGTAAAAGCACTGACTAGGTATTTATGATATTTTATGTTAATTTTGGGGTATGTTCATGGCTGTGGCTTTTTTTAAAGAGTCCTTTGAGATATATGCTAAAATTATATGATGCCTAGGATTTGGTTCAGAATAATCCAATGGACGATCAGGGAAGAAGGGGAAGTATAGATAAAACAGTATTGGCCATGAACTGGTAA